TAAAAACGAGGACTCAACTTCTCGTTGATCCTTGTTGCCAATGTTCTCAATCTATAAGGCTGAATCCGTAGATACACCATATCTCCTACTTCAAATTGGACGTCTCTTCGATTCTTATCCGCCTGAACTTTCATCCTATTTTGGGCCTTCTCTAAAGACGCCTTTAACTCATCCAAAATGATTTCCCTTTCAGCCAGTAACGAGGATACAACATCCACCTTCAAAAAACTATTCCCTACCCGCAGTAAGTGAGGTGGATCCGTCCCGTATAATGCCTTGAACGATGTCATTCTGGTAGATTCCTTGTAAGTGGTATTGTACCAGAATTCTGCCCAATGCAGCCACCTAGGCCAGCTCTTTGGTTTAGGACCGCAAAAACAACGGAGATATGTCTCCAACCCTCTATTAACCACCTCAGACTGCCCATTGGACTGTGGATGATACGCCATACTATAGTGCAGTTTCGTACCGGCTGACTTGAATAATTCTGACCCGAATTTGCTTAAAAACACCTTATCTCTATCTGATACTACCATCAAAGGGAACCCGTGCAAACGCACCACCTCCTTAACAAATAATTTTGCCACATCTCTTGCTGAATAAGGGTGAGACAGCACCATAAAATGCGCATATTTAGTCAAACGGTCCACCACCACAAAAATGGTATCAACCCCAAAAGCTCTAGGGAGACCACCAATAAAATCTATGGAAATTTCAGACCAAACCTGTGTGGGAATGGGCAGCGGCTGTAATAAGCCCGCAGGTGACAGATTTTGCACTTTGTTTTGTTGACAAACAGAACAAGACTTAACATACTGTTGAATGGATTTCCGCATACCTTCCCAATAAACTACTCCCAAAACCTTGTTATATGTTCGAGAAAAGCCCGAATGACCACCCACATTAGAATCATGAAACTCGTGCAGAATTAAGGGAATAAATCTAGAAGATGAAGATAGTACTAACCTGTCCTTGTAGAAAAGTCTTCCTCCCATTAATTTAAACCCCATATGTGCATTAGAATTTAGCACCAAAGCTTGTAAGATTTTGCGTAGCTTGGGATCTCCCTGGACTTCCCTATCTACTTCCTCCAATTCAGGTAGCTGTACTTGAGAGAGTGAGGAATACCACATCGTTCTAGAAAGAGCATCCGCCACTACATTTTCTTTCCGTGGTTGATACTGGATTTCGAAGTCATAGCCCAATAACTTAGATGTCCACCTTTGTTGTTCTTCCCCTAGAACATTTTGATCCAATAGAAATCTGAGGCTTTTCTGGTCGGTTTTTACTATAAAATGCCTCCCCAGTAGATAGGGACGCCATTTCTTAACTGCAAAGACTATGGCCATCAATTCCTTCTCATAGACCGACTTGGACAAGGCAGTCTTGGAAAACCCTTGGCTAAGGTAAGCCAAAGGCCTACCCTCTTGCATAATTACTGCCCCTATACCCTTCCTTGAGGCGTCCGTTACCACCGTAAACAACTTTGAAAAATCAGGCAGGGCCAATACTGGCATACTGGTCACAGCTTTTTTTAACAATTGAAAAGCCTTCCCTGCTGTTTGATCCCACTTAAATCCTTCTTTTTTAAGTAGCTGTGTCAATGGTTGAGCAATTTTCCCATAATCTCTCACAAACTTACGATAGTAACCTGTGAGTGCCAAAAAACCTCTCAATTGCCGGATGATTTCAGCTTGATTTCGTATTAACTCTTCCTGAGCTTGCTCACTGCAACGAAACCTCTCCTCCATGCCTTCCATATTCCTTGTCATTACCATAACCCAGCTCTCAGTCAGAGCTTTGATACCAATTTGATACGATTAAAGTAAAAGAAACGCAAAAGATACTGAATATTCCTCTTTGTATTGACAATTTCCAGAACAATCAAACAATAAAAGAAGAATTACATCTGGTTCTCCATAGTGCTGCTATGGATCAGTGTTTAAAGAAAAGAAAATAACGAGAGATGCCCCTGCATTTTCTTACGAAACTACATAACAACTTGACCCCTTGGTACCCTTCATTCCCTTCCCACTCTCTTACTAATACTCACTCCTCTAACTAACTTGTAATGCGCTGGCCTGCATCCTCCTCTAACGGATTGTCTGACTCAGCAACAGCAACCTGATTGGCATTGGCATCTTTGACATTAGCATCTTTGGCAAACAACCCTCTCCTCTTACCTTTGTCTCTTACATAAACCTTGTGCAACTGGGCCTTACGTAATTGGGCCCTATCACAGGCCTAAGGGGGTGAGATTAGGCCTGATAAGGAATTGATATATTAATATTGCTTACAAGTACAATTCTCAAGAACTAATATATAATTTCAATATTAATATATTAAAATAATTTTTTTTAATATATTAATTTTTAAAATATTAGAGGATATTATCTTATACAATATCATACTAAACACTAGATAGTATTAAAATTTAATCAGGTCTTATACTATCAGGCTTTATACTATCAGGCCTTGTTCAATTTTATGCACCAAACATGCCAAACCTACGATGCATGGCTTCCTCTTAAGCTCAAATACAAAAAGAAAAATGAGAGGATAAAAAGGGTAGATTATGTTGGTAGAAGTAGGCAGAGGTTCACCGGCCGTATTGGAGGTGTCCTGAATATGTTGCGAATTATTGCTAATTGGTTTTTTATTTTAGTCATTTCAAATTGGCTTCGCTGTTCTACATCTGTTGTGAATTCGTGCTAAGTGACTCATTTCAATGACAGTTCGTTATGGTCCTCTGCTATTTTTCTTGTTGGTAAGACATTGTTTCTTATCATCACTGAACTTCAAGGTGGAGCTTTACTTTAATATCCTTAAAGGCACCCTTTCATCTTTGCTTTCCCCTTGAAGGCATCAGCATCTACTCCTTTTGAGCCTGATGAGCCTTTTTTTTTTATTGGGTGAAACCTATCTCTGATTTTCCCAAAAACGTAAATAATAAAATTGTTCAGTTTGGAATTTAAAGGACAACGTAATTATAATGCCTAAAAAGGAATAAAGTTATGCATGGGACATAAATTGCGAAGCCCTGTTCATCTTTGAAGGTTGTAATCATCTTCAACCAACTTTCTCCATGACCACATATCATGATAGCATTCACATTTTCTATTGTAATATATGAGAAGCATTTATTTCCTCCCCATGTTAAATTTTGCAGTCGGTAAAGCCTTCTAATCGCCGTCTCCTCCCTTCAGATCTTCATAACATGGAAAGAGTAACATGATTGACAGAATTTAAGTAACCTAATACAAAACATGTTCATAAACTTCATAGTTCTACATTTGACACCTCATCTCAAATGAACTCTTCACAGCATGAGAGGTTTTAAATAGGGAGCCGAAATCATTCAACTACCTTAATTAGGGAGAAAGGAAAGTGCTAATCAGATACATGTAATTTTAGTAACGGAGACACTGGTAGGCAATGCAAAGTACAAAGATTATTTTAATTTAAAGAAACTAGAAAAAGTTAAAATCACAGGATCCTCCACATGCAAAGAGGGCCACTTAAAATATGGGTATTAGCAAGGTGGTGAGCTGTGACCACGTTAGTGGGCCAAGTTTACTTTATTGTAGGTCTTTGATAGATTATAGGATGCTTGCTTGATAGCGGTGCATCCCTTTTCTGTACTGAGGTATTAATTTCTGATCTTATTTTTCCTGTTAAGCGATCTCAATGATATAAAGGTTTGCATATATATATATATATATATATATATATATATATATGGGACAAGTTATATTTACAAACTTTTTTGTTTACAAACTTTTACAAACTACACTGTCTTCTCCCATGAGAACACTGGTTACATAGTGTAATTTGTAAAAATTTTCAAAAATAGTTTGTAAACGGATCCTTTCTCTATATATATATATTTTGGAAATAAGTTTGCAAATAGTTAATGCATATGGCGGCATATGGGAAGGGACGAGGCACATCAGCTGGTGGCTCAAAGTGGTAGTAGTGCTGTATCATTTTATTTTATTCCACTTTTCATTTTATGATGTTCATAATATCAAGGAGGATTATGAACATTATATTATGAATGTAGTATAATTCTTTTGATGAGTTATAAAAATGGGGTGCACGATTTAAAACGATATGTATTAGAATGAATCTCTTTTTTCAGATTAGCATTTGTGAAATTCAATTCCTAGTATTTTTTTCACCGAGAAACTGCCTCCAGAAGCGTGGAAAACAAAGGAAAAAAAGAAATAGATACTTCCCTTCAAAGGGAACATACAACAACAGTAATACATAAGAGTATGACGTCTCTTAGCTTGATACGTTATCGTTATCACTTCCTCAACATCGCTGACCTCTGGCATGCTGAGAGAGACAGACCTGATACCATTCTGATGAATTGACGGTCAAGATGTTGTCAAAAGAAAAAAAAGTCACTTATCCAAACCTAAAGGGATACTAAATTATAGATATGAAGTTCTGAACATATATAGGTAATATTAACTTCGCAGTATTCAATCGTTTAGGAAAAAAAAAAAAAGGTCTAGGTACTTGTGGAATAAATTTATTTTTCCACTTCCTTATTTTTCTAAATAATTATGGCTAACAAATTATAAACTTAACAAAAGATGGACTTTCTTTGGAGAATGAGTAGCGAAATCGAGAAAGCAATAATTCCTGTATAATAATTCATACACTTAGATAATATATATGACAACAATAATGGAATCATAATCCAAATCTTTCACGTTATCTAGCTCTGAAACTCACATGCAACACAAGAATATTCAGAACTTGCTTGACCTATGCTCCCTTGTATGCACATGCACGCTGATGCAACTAGCATCTGTTCCCCATCTTTTGTCCATTCCAACTTTAATTAGCACTAAACATATTTTACATCACTTGACAAAAACAATTACAGCAAATTCAAAATCACACTTTTGGCTTCACTATGTTCAATTCATTATTGCTTGTAGTTGTAGCATTCACACTAATAACCCGAAGCTTTTTCGGGTTTCGGGTCACCCATCAACAAGTCTTCAATGGGTTTCCACACAAACAGTCGTTGTTACTAAACGACGCCGCATCAAGGTGATCAAACGGAGACCCGATTGGAATGGTTCCACATAGGTGGTTGTAGCTCAGGTCCAAATGCCCCATGAACTTGGCTGATGATAACGAACCGGGTATCCGACCCGTCAAGTTATTAAACGACAAATCAAGGGCCATGAAATAGGAATTTGCCCTGAAAACATCGGGTATGGTACCCTCAAACCCGTTTCGGCTCAGGTTCAGGATACCCATACCCGTATTTCTCAGCAAACTGGAAGGTATTTGACCCGACAAAGAGTTACCATCCAGTTTCACAGTAGAAAGAACCCGCATTTTTCCAAGCCCGAACGGGATCGAACCGGTCATCCGGTTCAGCGACAAATCCAAATCCGCAAGCCGGTTCATTCTCTGCACAGACTTAGGAATCGAACCGGTGAGTTGGTTCCGGCTCAACAACGCGCGACTCAGCATTCGGAGTTTTCCAAAATCGGACGGTAACTCGCCGGCGATTCTATTGTTGCTGAGGTCGAGCTGCATGAGTCCGGCGAGGTCAACGATCGACGGCGGAATCTTACCGGAAATGACATTGTCGGCAAGGTTCAAAACAGCGAGTCGCCGGAGCTTCCCGATGTCAGCCGGAACCTCGCCGGAGATTCGGTTTCCGGTGAGGTCGAGGATTCGGAGGGAGGAGAGGGAGGAAATGCAGGATGGGATCTCGCCGGAGATGGCCTTCCAGTCAGCGACGACGAGGGTGCTAAGGTTGCCTAGGTTGCAAATCTCCGGCGAGATTTTTCCGGTCATGTAGCCGGTGCGGCGAAGCTTCTGGAAAATAGGGTCTTCGGAATCGCCGCGGAGGTTGATGTCAGTGACACGGCGGGTGGTGGGGTTGCAGCTGACGCCGTACCAATTCCGGCAGCAGTCGGTGCCAGACCATGAGTGGAAGATGCCGAGGTAAGGCTCGGTCAGGGCAGTTTTTAAGGCCAAGAGTGCTGCCCGGTCCGACGGCGGGCAGGGCTTAACGGCGGAGATAACGGCGAAGAGAAGCAGAGTTTGGAAGAAGAGCGAGGAAGCCATGAGTATGTGTTGTGCGCAATGCAATGGAACGGAATGGATGGTGAGTTTGCATGGGTTATATATAATATTTTAAAGGTTTTATTAATCTCATTACAGTTGAGATAATTATCTTATCTCATAGATAAAAATTAGTGTTGCTCCACCATCTGAAAAAAAAAAAAAATGTGATAAAGTTATCGAAGATTGTGTAGGAGAGTAGTTTTTCCCATATTTTAAAGGGGTTTGTTTTTCTCATGTTGCATGAGAAAACAAACCCTTCCTACACACACCATAAAAAGATGTGCCACTCATTTTTTTGTTTTTTATTTTTTTTAAATAGGTGAGTCACACATTTAATATATCTATAACATCAGATTTGAATTCTCCTATAACGTAAGATAATAGCTACATTTTTCCTATTTTAAATATCTGACACTCCACGCTTCGATAAGGTAACTCAACGTGTTTGTTTAGTATTCCGGACAGAACATATACCATACGTGTTTGGTTGGTGAATAATTAAAAAGCACCTCGCAGTGTTAGTGATACTGATACTCATGCACTATAACACTAACACTGCCTTTTGTCACTGTTTAGTGAGTGGCTTGCACATGTCACATGCATATGCCGGGGGGTTTAAGCCTTTTTGATAGTGATAATAATAATAAATCGAAAAATTAAAAATTTATTGTAATTTTTCTTAAAATTTTCATTCAAGTTTAGTTTTAACATAGCTAAATTTTTTCTGTCCACTTACCCCCTTTTTATATATCTCCTTCCTCCTTCGTATTTGCCATGATTATAATTTCCTCAAACAATATTTGTCAAATTAAACAATTATAAGGTAAAATTTGTGTGAAAATAAGATACTCCCAATTCCACAACAAGAAGTCAAAAAAACTAACTGAGATACTAACTAGTAGCCCAAGGTAACTATCGGAATTGGAATTGTACACGAGAACATGAAAAACCCTTTTAAGAAGAAAGATTACAGATGAGCTATTTTATACAAATTTTTATTATTTAAAATAATAGGTTTTTTCTATAAAAAAAAAAAGAAATTTTAATCAGACAAAAGAAATAAACATTAAATAATGCTGCGGAGGAGGGATAGAATATAGAGAGGAAGAGGGGGAGCACAAACCACTGGATCTTCTCCTGGGCAAGCTTATTCTTTTTTGTTTCCATTTCAAGATTTGTGTTTTAATTTTTAAAGGTGGAAAAAGTTAAATTCCTATATGTTATTCTGCCCTTGCCCAGTTGTTAAAGATCTCATTTTGCTCATGTTACGAAAATAAAGTTTGATTCTGTTGCTAGTGACCCTTTTAAAGAGTGAGGGGTTTCATCATGATGAAAGGACATAATAGTAATGCAAGGCATCACTAGGGTATATAAATTGTGTTGGATGGGAGATTCACTAGCCGCAGAATTTATAACCCTCAAAATGATCTTCATGGCACTCATAATTGTTTGGAAATATAGTGATCAAACACACACAATAAAAAATAAACAAGAAAAGACATAGACATGAATTTACCCTAACGTACTAGAACTACGTTCAATGATAATTTTATTTTTGCTTTTTTTAATTTTTTTTAACACCATATTCTACTCATAACATTCATTAACCGAATATGTTCATGCCTAACAATAATACAGCGTGTTCAGAGTATGATTTGTAGAAAGGTGCCCAATGCCCATCATGTACAAATGTTAATACAGTACAAATGTTAGACAATGCAGGGCCTGGGTGGACCGTTGAGGAATGTGCATGGCTCCATGGTTGTTTATATTATTATAAGGAAACATTAAGATTTTTTTACTGTTCAGTGCCAATACCAAACTTTATTGATACAGTGTCTATATGATTAGTTTTTTGAGCTTTATATATCGTGTCGTGTCAATGATTATCACATTTGAAGTCCAGAATTTTATGATTAAAGGGTTTTACATCCGGCGAATTTCCTTGTAGTCCGTGATTTCGGTTTATAAACCTATTATTATATGCTAGTATTTAGTCTTCATGGCCAATAATGACGGATAAAAAATCTCATCTCCTTGCCTAAACTATGATGGAAAAAATATTTGCAAGATTATGATCATCATTAGACTTAGCTTTGGTAGCTAGAGAAAAAAAGTAATGTAAATTAATTAATTGGATACGACCCCCATTACTATTCATAAATTAGTTATATGATCATGCAACCAGTGGCGAAGTTCGAACAAAAAATCAGATAGTGCCATTTTATTTTTTTGGAAATAAATTTTCTTTTTTAATATCTATTCCCGAAAACAACTTTTTCTTTCTTCAAAACTCATTTTCTATCTCTTCAAGTGAGTCTCTTAATTTCATATTTTTTTGATTATGATAATAGGGAGTCAACCTGTTGATAAGGTCATGTAAGAAAACATTTTTCTTTTAGTATACTTAAACAAAAAGAAAATGAAGTGAAAACTATAGGTTGACATGCTCCACTCTCACAGTCGAGCCATGGAGGTTGTCGTCTTCATCTCGAATCACAAGCCCTATCCGAGCCAAAACCAAGCCAGTGCCTCCGATCATTTCTCTTGATTACCCCTACCAGAATTACAGACATAGTGGTTCATTTTTGAAAACCAAGCCAGTGCCAGTGCCAAGGCACTGGCTGGTTTCAACGTGGCCACTACATGCAACTATTTTAAAACCTATAATATGATAAACTTCAAATCCTTTGATACAAACCTTGGGAGAGTCTCACCTCAAAAGTTAACTTAACTCTGATATCAATTACACGAATTTTAGGAGAACCTCATCCCAAAAGCTAGAACCTTATGTTTTCAATGTAGGACTCCAAGTCCTATACATTGTAATTGGATCGTAACATATTTATGGTTATAGTGCTAAGTTCTGCAATATATTATTTATAGGTAAATTTCAGAATATAGATATATTCATTTAATTAAATGCTACAACACATTGTTGTTTTCATATTAATAATTCGTAGTTTGTAATTATTGATTTGTAAGTGATTTTCGCGAGCAAAAGGGAGATCATATAATCAATCTTAAATGGAAAAATAATCAATGTTTAAGACATTAGAATATTTTTTCACGTTTATATTAGGATAGAAAATTATATATTCGTATGAGTTAACAAGTTTCGTATTTCATAAGAATTGAAAAAACAAAAAATTGAAAAATTAAAACGTTTTCATTATGTAAACTTGATTTGACAATATCAACATCAAAATCCTTGTTATAGTGGGAGATAAGATTAGTTTAAATTAGTGTATGTAACACCCCGTTAGCGGATCAGTGAGTTAACATTGATTATGATATCAAGCGCAGTTACAATCACAATGATTTATTTAAAAATACGATAAATTTTTTTTATTACGTATGCGATTTAAACAACCGGATTATGCAATTATACAAACTGTGATCGCAACTGAAATTTAAACGGGGAAGTAATATTCTAAATGCCTAACTATCATACAACACTTATTTTAAGTTGTTAAGAGGTTCCTGTAACATCCCGTATATATCCGATTTGTTATCATATCATCGTATTAAGCCACGCTTAATTTAATAATGAGGAATATCTTTTTCTGTTCAATTATGACGTCATTATCATTAGCCAAGTTGAATTACTTAATTCATTTCATAAAACATCGCCTGTATGTAAATTGCAAAAGACAGCTAACTGAAATACCTCATAACATAGATGTGAGTATCTAAGTCACAGATCTACAACATGTAGTCCGAACAATATCCTTATACATTATTAATTACAACTAGAAACAACTAAGCATAAAGTCAAGTCAAAGTGGCATGGACAATCCCCATACTCACCAAATAAGGCACAAGCCCCACAGCAGTCTCAACAATAACATCATGAAACTAAAAGCATAAAAGACAACAGTCAATATCCAGCATCCAACATAAGCAGCATAACAACATATAATCAGCTAAGCTCTGGCCTCCTGCCGCTAGAGGTCTCAATCCCCGCATTACCTGAACCTGAAATATGTGCCCCAAACGTGGGGTGAGATCTCTAAAAAGAAATCTCAGTAAGGCAAGGGGTCCTCAAGGATCTTCAACCCCAAGCTCACTTACACGAGCAATATAAGTTCAAAAGCATTTAACAATATAAGTTCCAAAACTATGCAGTGCAACAGATATCCATGCCATGTGTGTTTTAACTATTCTACTGGCCAGAGAAATGCAGGACGTACATCTACAACCCCACAGTAAGTACAAGGAACACTCCTTGCACCTCACCCACAACCTCACCATCTTGTATGTCTCCACATACTCATGCTTACTGTATAGGTGGAACACCACATGCATATCATAAAGGCACTCGCATATAACAGCTCAATCGCATTTATCAAAACAATACATGAAAACAACATCATGCATATAAACCACCCCCCATGGGACATGGTGGAACCAACAATGGCTAAACCGAGGACACAAAAGCTTACCTTGCAAGCTAACAATCTAAGCCAAGAGTCCAACTAATCTCAAAGCCCAAACACAACAGAATCACAATCTGTTTTGGACCAACAATCATATCAAAATCATACTCAACAAGTATAAGACACAAGGACAATGTCTTTCCTTTACATTTCATATCTTAAGGCTTCTCACAAAGCCACAAGCCCTTAATCACTTAGATTCTAACTTAACTAATTAATACAGAAGTTCAACTTAACCAGTCTAGGGTCCACAAACCCCAAACATCATTCTGTATGAACAGTGCAGCTACTGTTCTTCGAAAACCCAGAATATCCGGATATTTGTCGGGGGCATATCCGGATATCAAAATCCGGATATCTCTCTGCCAATATCCGGATATTCAGATCCCCATATCCGGATATCAATATTCGGATATGCATATCCGGATATTTCGCGACAGAATGCAGTTCTGCATTTCGCGAGATATCCTTCCAAAGGTTGGGTTTTTAACTCATTCCAATGTCCAAGCATGCATTTTTACACTTCTTTAGGTTCATATACTGGGTGGTTACTTGTTTAAT